GAGGAGGAGGAGGAGGAGGAGGAGTAGGTCGGCTGGGCGTGGGGTGTGGCATTGAGTTCCGATCGCGCATGTGTCGACTGGACGTAAGAGTGACCTTTCGCGGGAGGGACCTCTGATGCGAGCCCATTGGTGTCCCCCGATCGCCGAACGCGAAGCGGCAGCAGCGGCTTGGGCCCCAGGTTTGGCCCCCCCGTGCCCCCCGTTGAGCCGCGCACCAGAGGCCCCTCTTGCCTGGGGGTCACTCTTGCGTGTAGCCGAACGTGCCAATGTGGCGCCAGTGTCGTAGGGATCATCGGGGGCTTGGGCGGGAAGGGGGCGAATCTGCGAGCTCCGAAAACCCAGCTGACATGGGGTCCCGACTGGTCGAGGCTGCAGTCAGGAGTCCTAGCGAAAGCGGACCCCGATTGCTTCCATGTGACAAGTGGGTTCTACTGTCAAGCAGGTGAGCAGGGGCCCGGCGCCCCGGCTGGAGTCGCCCAATCCGGGGGTCCAGCCAGTCAGGCGACGAAGTGTATAGCTACACATCCACTGCCCCGCTGGCCGGGCCCTTCCTGGGCCCAGGAGCTGTGTATACGCCCTCCTGGCCAAGTGAGGAAGCCAAATCCCACCTGTCTCTGACTGCAATTTTCAAAATTGAGGAACACTTCTCAAACTGGCAGAAAGGTTGCTGAGCATTCTTGGCGGCGATCTCCCGCCCCCGTGCTGGGGGGTGTAAAAAGGGTGGGAACAGGCTCGCACACCAATGACCCTAACGGGTCGTCAGATTTCTTCTGCTTTGTGGCACTCTGCTCTCCACGCGTGTAGCTCTCTTCGTGCTCTCTTCCTCCATGCATCCGCCCACCTGCTCTGTCAAGTTTTGCGGGCCTGCCCTCAGTCGCCGCCGCCAAGGTTTACAGCCCGTACGGCGGCAAAGAGGTCGCCTGCTGGGGTGGATTTGCCGATCCTCTTTGGGGGCACAGCCTCCTGCCGTGTCTGGTTGTTGGTTTCCTGTCTGTTGGGTGGATTTGTTTCAGATGGCCAACGCTGCCGCCTGCTCAATCACGCTCAGTACACCCCGTCGGACATGCTCCACTCCTCACCCCATCCCATCCTCCTCCCCCCGTCTGCCTCGCTTCTGCCTCTTGCACTCGTCCTCGCTATCCCCTCCTCCCTCTTCTCGCGCCCTTCTTCTTCCTTCTTCCACCTCCACCAGAGAAGAAGGAACCACCACCACCACCGCCACCACCACCACCACCACCACCACCACCACCACCACCACCACCACCACCACCACCACCACCACCACCACCACCACCACCACCACCACCACCACCACCACCACCACCACCACCACCACCACCACCACCACCACCACCACCACCACCACCACCACCACCACCACCACCACCACCACCACCACCACACACCACCACCACCCACCACCACCACCACCACCACCACCACCACCACCACCACCACCACCACCACCACCACCACCACCACCGCCACCACCACCACCACCACCATCACCACCACCACCACCACCATGGGGGCTGGCCGCTCCCCCTCCCCGAGCTGGTGGCACCCCGTCCTGGGCGCGCCCCCGGGGAGTGCCAGGACCGGAGCGCCGCCAGCTCGGGGGGGTGGCCCGAGCAGTCTCTGGAGGTCTGCTACAGCAGAGGGCACCGCCTGAACCTTTCTGCCAGGGTGCACGACGTTGTGCGGAACGCTCTCCAGGCCGAAATTGCTGCTCCCCTCCTGGCGGCGGTGGCCGACCGTCCTGCCCGCGTCTTCGTTGACAGCCAGACCGCGGTGGACGGCTTCGCCACCGTGCCTCCTGGTGGCGACGCCCCCAGCGGTCCCCACGCCGTCCCTCCGGCAGCAGACTCGCCCGGGCCCCGCTGGCCGCTGGCCGTCGAAGAGGCCGTCGCACGGGGCGTTCGGTGACCTTGCCGCCGGCCTCGGCGGGAAGGGTGGGCGCGGACGGCCCTGGTGTCGGAGGCCTGGAGGTTGACACCAACATCAGGATCGGCGGTGTGTCTCTACCGAGGGAAGATGTTCCCGATCTCGGTGATGGGTGGTAATATTCGGACGTCCAAGGGGGCCGAGTCATTACCACCAGCACCGAAACCTAGGATCACCTTACCCCTGAGGAGGCAATCCCCCTGCGTTGGTGTTGGTGCCCGTGCCCAGGGCTCCATCCACACACAGGCCACTGGAGCCTGCAGGTAAGTGTGAGCGGCTGGATGGGCGATGACGGCGACAGCGCACATGCGGCCCTGGTGCCTGAAGCCCCTCAAGCTCTAACAGAGACGCGATCTTCGTCTGGCAGTGGAACCGACTTCTCTGGGAAGGGTCAGCAGCACATGCCGTGCTCCATGCACCCTTTCCTGTGGCTAGATGTGCTCATGAAACCTGCTGATCTCTGATCTTCAGGCCAGTACTGGCAAATGAATCAGCCAGATTTGGCTGCAGGCTCCACCGGTGCACGGACCCGTCGCCAGGAGCCCGCGGGCGGCTGCGGCGTCCGTGCGGGCTCCCGCGCCCCGGGGAGGGGCGGCCTGCGGCGCCGGAGGGTGCCCTCCCTGCTCGGCGCTGCCCCCCTGCGCCCGCCGCCATGTCCTCGCAGGACCCCCCTCCCCGCGCCTTGACGCAGGGATTATGCTGTTCCAACCTACGTTAGCCTTCACCACCAGAAAGAAGTTCGAGCACCAAGAGAGTACCGAGACTTGAGGGTCTTCGTGTGTCGGGCCCCTGGAGGCGATATGCTCGTTCGACACTGTTTCGAAACTGTTCTGGGTGCTCGGAATCGTTTCTGGAGTGTGGTCCTCGAGTACGATGGGAGCAACATGACGCGGGGACTCCGCCCCCTCTCGCAAGCTCGAGCTTCGGCCGCCCTCTCTGCCGCGCTGTACCGCGCGCGCGAGAGCACCGGCGGCCTATGCTGGCCCTGGCAGGGCACGCGGTGTGCCCGAGGCGCGCAGGCACGTCCGTGCCGGGGAAGGAAAGGGCAGGGTTGGGGAAAAAACACACAGACACAATGAAGCGTCGATCCCCAGGAAAATATTGGAAAATATGGGCAGTGGGGGGAAGACAGAAACCAGGAGAATGTGGGAAAATAGGGGGAATCCTTTTCTTTGTGTGTCCTTGGGCCCCTTCAAAAGGGCAGGGTTGGGGATGTGCCACCACGAGGTGGGTGCTTAGAACTTCCCAGCCAGTGGTAGCAGTGGTGTGGCGACTCCTGTGATCAGATCCTGTGTTCCGCATGCCTGGAGGTGCGCTGGGCGCACGCGCGCCTGCCACAATGCGGATGCAATGGGTGCCCTGCCCGCGTGTTCCACCATGGCCGTGCGTCTGCGCACGCACCGATGAACGCAAGGTCGATCCATGCGCGCTCAACGCGCTGAACGGGCAGCGCACGAGAGGCACTCGCACGCGCGCGCGCACATTGACACATGCAATCACGAAGGCTGCACGCGTGCGTGATATGACTCAGCAGGGGTGCGTTTCCCAAAATGTGGGAAGAAACATTCACCCCATCCCCAACCCCCTCATCCTACCTACTCCTGCTCTTCCTCCTCCCCCCCTGCACCCAACCAGCTATATGGAGCTGATCCGGCGGGCAACCAGCTACATGTAGCTAGCTTCGCGCCACACTGGCTCCAGGCAGCTAGTTCGGCGCGAAGCTAGTTACATGGAGCTAGTTTCGCGCCGAGCTTGCTACGCGCACGTAGTTCGGCGCCAGACCCAGCTGCACACAGCTAGTGTTCCTCGACGCACACCTCGACATGGCAACCTGGAGATTCTCATATATGAGAACTAAATCATAACGGCCCTGAATCAGCTGCTGTAGCTGGTTTCCCGTGCAAGTTTGCTGCACCCATCTGGGTGCTGTCGTTGATCGCGGGCCACCCGCTGATCCAAAACAACGCCCAGCTGGGTGCAGCAAGCGTCGCGCCTGCTCGTGCTCCAGACGTCGCGCTTGTGCCTTCGCCCGCGCTGCGCGCCCTGAGCTATTAACAACTCCCCCCCTTACGCCGATTCCCCCCAGCGCTCCGACGCATCGCTCAGGAGGGCCGTTCAACCTACGGGGAGCTGCGAAACACGCGGAGAGCTCATCTTCGTGATATCACGTTCGCACACAATGCCCGTGCCGCGCCTCAAAGCACACGCGCTCGGATCGACAGCGCCGTGATCGAGTGCCAGACCGCCTCACCCGACTCCCTTGCGCCGGACGGCCAAGTGCCCCTGCTTTGACAGTGCCGCTCCAGACCGCGCGCTTCGAGGCTCGCTCGGTTCTGCGCCCGCTCTGGCACCACAGAGTTCGCACGAGAAGCATGCTCGGGCGGAAATGCGAAGGATGGTGGCTGGAGAGGAGAGGGATGGAAGGACAAAAGGAGACACGGTTCTCGGGGAAAAGAAAGCGTAGCTACGCTGCTCGGCGTGTCAGACCAGCAGCAGGCATCAAATTCCGACCCCCCCCTTTTTCTATTCCCCCCTTTCGCCCGGGATTGACTCGCACCAAGCGTCATCTGCTCGGATGCTGGGGGTCCTCTCCTTCTCTTTCGACGTCGGTTCGAAATCGGTCCACGGACTTCTCCCAGGGTCCGTCCTGGTTTGAGGTCCAGGATCGGTTTTAACAGACCGGGAGCCCGAAACAGGCCCCTGGGGTGATGCCGAAGCTGAGCAGAAGACTCCCCCGTCCCCCCTGTGCTGAAGGGAGGGTGGCGTTCAGAAGGTGCGGTTGGCGACCTTAGGATGGACAGATGGGCAAAAACACACACTCTGTACGGAGCAATCCGACATATATTTTTGAGTGCCTGCGTGGTGTCTCTGGTTGCACCTCACTACTCGAATTAATATTGACGCTACTGCTGCTACCACGAATCCGATTACTTGTATTATTTCTACTACTTCTACGACTGCTTCTACCACTACTACATCAACAACAGCAACAACAACAACAACAATTACTAGCACGTGGGGACACTCCGTTCTCACCAGTGCCAGGGTTTTCATAGGAGGCGGGCAATACCCCCACTTTGTGGGGGGGCCGGTTCAAGCTCTACCAAATTTCCAAACGACTCTTCGCCACCACCCACACCCAGCTTCCCGCCCTATGACGTTCGGACACTTCACTTCGTGGCATGCGGACGACCGTGGCTACTATTCAGGGCCCCGCGGCCGACGACGACGGCGTGCGCGCGCGAAGAAAAAACGAATGTGTCCCGCATGGTATTATTTGACAGGGATGATGGCCCTGGCAGGTGCGCAACCGTTGTCGCAGAAGATCGAAAAAGTTGCTCGCAAAAGCCCGTTTGACAGAAATGTTTAAAAAGTGTTGGGTTTCCTACGAATCCGCAAGAGCGCGCGGGATGAGATTTTGACAATTTTTTGTTGAAAAACCATTGGTTTTTTGATGTTTTTATGTTAAAATCGCTGCGAACACTAAGGTTTTGGAAGGATTTCGTCTTGCGCGCGCGAATGTCCACTTTACCTTATTTTTTGCAAGGGATTCTTGAAATTTGATTATATTAGAACAAGAAATGTCATTTTCTATTGTTTTTTGCAAGGGAAAGCGGATTACAACAAAACAACCGGATCCTGTACACACCCTCTTTTCTGAGGCTTCCTCACGAAAATGATGAAAATGTAGCTGCGGCCTAGGCGGCGCAGGGGGGGCGCGCACCAGGGGGCCCAACAATAATTATTCTTTAGAATAAATAATGTTCAACAACAACAACAACAACAACAACAACAACAACAACAACAACAATTACTAGCACGTGGGGACACTCCGTTCTCACCAGTGCCAGGGTTTTCATAGGAGGCGGGCAATACCCCCACTTTGTGGGGGGGCCGGTTCAAGCTCTACCAAATTTCCAAACGACTCTTCGCCACCACCCACACCCAGCTTCCCGCCCTATGACGTTCGG